AGTGCAGGGAGTAGTACCTCCCCTCATTCACCAGACAGTACTCACCTTTATCAATTTACAACGTATCAGGTTTTCTGCAACTCTTCTGCTTCCTCACACTGCATAAATAATTACATGTTAAGTTTTTAGGAAGGCTTACCTTCTTGCTTTCCTCCATTTCATGTTCAAACATTGCATTAAAAACTGGAGATCGTGCTGTAGCAAGAGAATTAAATATTAAATATAATCAAATTTCAAGTTTTTAAGCAATTTTAACAACAAAAATAGCAATATAAAAGTAGAAAGTACCTGCAAGGACAGATTTATGAGCTTTGAATTCTTGTCCTCCTACATAAAAACTGCAATCTGTAAATCTTGTTGTTTCCCAGAGATTCCCTAAATCTTCTGCTAGTCGACATTCAGGTACCTTCAAAGTGTTTGTATTAGACTGTCCTGATATATTTACTGAGTCTTGGACCACGCTTACCTAACAGAAAATCACAGCAAGACAACTCCTTCATAACTGAATGCCAATAAATAATTAAATTACAGCATCTATGGCTAGAAGTTCAACAATTCCTAAGCAAAGCAAAAACGAGTGTTTCTGGTATTAGGCCAGAACCCTAAACCAGCGGTTTGAAAAACTAGAATTAGAGTCTGTATTTTTTTTTTTTTTTTTTTTTTTTTTTTTTTTACAAAACAAGAGAAAAATCCCTTAAGTAGCATAGAACAAATCAGGTTCTACTTAGAGTGTCAAACATTGTGAATTTACCCAACCCAAACAAAAAGGAAGAGCACAGTACTACATGCCACATGATAAAAAAGCCCAAGTCAGTCTGTCAAGGACAGATATGGTTCTTAGCATACCAACAGGATCCCTAAATAAAAGTTAACGCTATTTCACAGATAAACAAACAGTTCAACACTTCACACGCTTAAGTAAAATAAACTTCTAAATAGACCATCAGAACCATAAGAACACAGGAAAAAATAGTTTCATAGAAGTGAACTACATTTTAGATAGCATGTTATTCTTAACTGTAGGACAAGGTCATATTTAAATCGCAAGACGACAATGCAAGCTAAGTGTAAGTAACATTGCTCATTCATCGTTCCATTTTACTTTGTCCAGATAAGGCAGAAATCATAAGTGATTGCTTCCCAACCAAGATAAAAACCCTTAAGAAATACAAGTCAATGGAATATAAAACATAATAGGTAAGTAACTTTAATAATGAAACGCATGTTCGCAAGATGCAATTTTATTAAAAAAACTAGTTTTAAGGTAACTGTGAATGACGTGCATCTGAAGTGAATATATTGCCGTTATTCCTCACATTCAACTCTTATTACATAATAAGGACAAGTGAACAGAAGAGTAGCATTCTTACTTGCTTTTTTCAGATATCTTTACACATCCTTTTAATTAGTCTGTTGGGGAAAAAGAATAGCTCAGCAGGTTTTATTTTTGTTGTCTGAGAGCACAGGCCTGAGAATAAAAGCTTCCTAAAGAAGAACAGAGAAGAACTACAAGATCTTGATTACTGCACCTCCCAAATACACAAATTAGGATTATATATTGGAAGAAAATACCAAAACTGTTGAGACAGTCTTTTCTTTGATTTCCAGAGGCATAGAATCTGGCATAAAGCAAAAATAGCAAGGCTAAGCTTCACAGATAGTCAGAATAATGCAAACCAAATGCCAGATCAGAAGAGGATGATGATCCAATTAAGACAGCAGCTTGGGGATTTGAATCATTGACTAATTCTGTGTTTCATCCCATGCTACAAAAATTCCAGGTTACAAAAATTCCCTTATATACTTCCACCTTTTAAGAGGAAACAAAAACAAAAAACATACCCGAAAGCACTGCAAAATTTCACTTTCACATTAAGACTACATTTATTACACTTAAAGATCTATAGGGCTACTATGTACTCAGTGACACAGTTTTCACTTAAGCAGAGTGATTTTAGGGAATAACACACAAATGGAGCTTTAGCTTAGCAGAGCTCGTCTTCTCAGATCTGTTCTGCTGCCAATGGAGAGAGTTTTGCTTCTCCACAGACTTCACTTGAGGTTAAGCTCCTGCCCCAAGCTGTCTGCACAGATCCTCTTTCTTTGTTAACTACAGTCAGCACCCAGGAAAGTAACTTGCATATCCTTCACATTTACTTAAGCTGATCTCAGGTGTTCCAAGCTTCTATTACTTTACAGAGACTTCTAATACATAATTGATGGTTGTAAAACCAGAAAAGTTTGCTTTGAGCTATCCTTTTAAGATGTAACCTGAGCAAAATTTTAATTCACATCTTGTATGCCTGAGTGGCCAGTGTGTATTGTCTTACCAGGCAGCTGCCTAGGTAATAACAACTTTTAAAGATTCTAACTGCAAACACTTACAGGGATCTGATATTTCATATCTCACTTGTCCAGATGGGATGCTTAAAATCAAGTTCATTCATTTTTTTTAATTAAATGAATTATTTATTTAAATCAGGTTGAAATTCAATAAAGTTAATCCCACAGAGCTACTGAAAACTCACCTTATGCTGACAATTATAAAACAGTCACTTTTTGCAACATCTAATGCCAAATCCTTACTACTTTAGGCACTTCAGAGTAAACGCCTGTAAAAATTACTCACAAGAATGTGGGTATTTCTTTACTAAATTGCAGGATGATGAGGAGAGGTTAAAACCAATGGCAAAAAACTTAGCTTAAAAAGGAGTAGCAACCTAGCTAGGACTTCGAGGTACTCCACAAGGTCTGATTTACTTTGCTTCTTAGGAAGCTATCCTACGCACAGCTTTGCACTGCATGCATACTTTAGGTGAACAGATCTCGTTTACCTTGTTTACCCTCCTGCTTAAGGGTATATAAGGATGCATAAGCTATGATTTTAACAAATTCAGTGTGTTAAGCAACAGTTAACACTGATAACATAACATTTTCTTGTTTTTGAGTCTGTAGTACTATAACAGTAAAAGATGGTGTAAGTGATACTCCAGACTACTCACTCAGCATAAGTCAACTGAGACCTGTGAAAGCATTCAGTAAGAAAAAAGTCTCTATAAAGAATTTACAATTCTATTAGCGAATAGAAATACTTGCAAGATTTTGGTAATTTAAGATTATATGCAAAGGGAGAACTGGGACCAGAGATCAGTTTGCTTAAAAAAATAAAATTATGAAGTTGCATTTAATCAAAGGTCACTTGTTAGTGGCAATACTAGACTTTGCAAAGTATTTAACTTAATCCTTCAATTTCCAATCCAAGGTCATACCCAACTGATCTTAAGAGCATTCTGCAATGCAGAAGAAACATCTTTGTATATACTGCCAAGGAAGAACAAACAATCCTCCTGCAGCCCAAGAGGGTAGGAGACCCACCAGCACAGCTGGTGCTCAAGTGACATTTCCTAAATACCTGCTATATATGCTAAAGTTCTTTCAAGTCAAGTCTAATGTTAAAAGTTGTAAGTCAGTCTTCAAACTAGGATATAAGCAGTAAGACAATCACAGGAATTAATGCTCAAATTTAAAAAGGACAAAAACCTTCAGATGCCTGCAGAAATAGATCCTTCAAATAAAATCTGTTATTTCTAATGACAGCTTAATAGCTAGAAAAGCACATCAAAATAAATGAGTTAAAAAGACTGGAGATCCAAATCTTTTTTTAGCTTTAGTCTGAACCAAGCCAGAAGTTACTTTAACATGCACAACTAAACACTGTGCTTCCTTCAACATTTATAGTCAGGGTAGCTCAAACATTTTACATAAGCCACTCACTTAAAACATCAAGAAATTCTTTAGGGAAACAATTTTGTTCAAAGATTAGTGCTGGATTTTAAATAACGATATTTCTCTGTGGAAAAGTCAGTATATGCTCAAATTGTACAAACTTGATCTTTAAAGTCATATAAAGCAACATATTTCCAAAACCAAACAATATTTTGAAGGGCTGTTTATTTACATAAATCTACTCAAAAAGGGTAAATTAAAAAAAAACTCATGAGTATCTTCGCAGAACCATAAAACACTTGTTACATCTGATTTTAATCACCTAAATAGTTGTATTCATAACAATTTTATCATGCAGCTACTGGAACTTGTCTAAGTGAAAAATAGATGCACTATATATTTGCACCATCTATTCTCAGGGGCCACATTTCAGTTATTCTTCCTACACAGTATAATGACATAGAATTAAGTTATTATCTTGCCAAGACAATTTTGCACATTTCCTGTAAATACACAGATCAAAGCAAACTTATTAGCAGTTAAAGCATCTATCATCCTCCTAAGCCACTAATCACTCTATAGCAGCAGTGATAACTTGCAAACGTATATCTAACATACACTGTACTTACATTGCATCTTCCTCTGGTTTCCATTTTTAACATGTAGTAAGCATTTTATTGAATTTTAATATGACAATTCATGCTACCAGCAAAACTTATATCAATATAAAGTGACCCATAATACTCCACGAATTGAAATTTATTGCATATTTCTCAATACAAGTTCTCAACCCTAACCAGTCCTTCTACAGAAGATTTGCATTTGTTCAGAAAATGAAGTGCAATATTTACTATGAAAAGAGTGTCCTCAAATATAATGCCATTAAAAGAATACTTTACAGTAGTCTGCTTAAAAATATGCTTGTAAGTATTTTAGAAGTAAAATTCACAAGAATCTTACGGAGATACAAAATTAGGACAGCTGCACAAATTAAAAACTGTTTACTTGAAAAATTTTAAAACCCATAAATTATGATATTACTGCAATACTGATTCTTCCTGATGACTTTTTCCCAATGCAAACAACTTCCTTTTGCTTAGGCAGCGGAGAACAATCCTCTGCTTCCAAATGAAACTTCTTTAAATAAAAGTGACCTTCGTAAAACGGTATTTGTATAGACAGCATGTATCAGCCACCTTTTGCATAAGCAACTTTATAGATGATTCTAATGTAATCCTAGGTGATTCATGGAGAAATCCAACAGTTTACAAGCGATAAACTCAGGCCTGCTTTGCGCTTCTAAATACATGTATCAAAAAAAGGAAATAAAATGCAATGCAAATAATGAGTAAATCTGTATCTTACTATATTTACGGCTTATAGAAAACATAACTTTTACCATACAGTAATGTTTTCAATCAATAAACATCTATATTAGACCAGAAAATATTTTATCTAAAAACTTACCACTTAAAAGCCTATACTCACCTCACAAAACAACGTAAGCTTGTCATCTGGTAAAAGACCATTAGCTTCATCTAGTAAAAAATCTCTTCGAATAAATTTTTTAAAACCCCAGTCCTTGCCTTGCACAAATCTATACGCTCTTTGGCTTTCTGAAAATAATAAAAATAATGAAAAAGATTATGTACAAAGGAAGTTAAATTAAAAAAATTAGCAAATAATAATATCTAAAGAATCTGTACTAAGAAAGCTTAAGCATTAATTCACTAATGAATTAAACATTTAGGTCTTGTGTCTCACATTTTTAGGAAATCCATCACTGATCATGTCCTACTTTTATGTTGTAATAATGTAATTTTATAAAAAAAGACTCAGATCTTAGTGGAGCACAATTTGCAATTCAACCACATGATCTCCTTAGATCTTATATTAGGCACCATTCAGCAAGAGAAAAATTTGTCAATAAACACTTCAAAATGCCACTGTGTCAGAACAGAAACTGTTCACAGGAAAGTACCATTACAATGAATTTCTCATCACAAGCACATTCTGAGAAGACTTCTGCAGTTGTTGGACTATTCTGTTTTGACTTCTTCCTGAAATGGAAAATCCTGTTTCACAGGTTGAAATTATTTTCAAATACAGTGAAAAAGATAAAACAGAAATAAATGGTTTCAATTAACTAAACTATTTCTTTGACCATAAATAGATATACTTCAGTCGGCTTTTTAGCCATTTGTTGTAATATTTTGGATATCGATCAGATTTGCTATGACCACACAACTGTTTTTCCCCAGTTCTAATGTTCTAAAGCCCACAAAAGGATTCCCAAGGTCATGCTGAAAGAGAGCTACCTTGAGCCCATGTTTTTAAAGAGCTAACAGGATGAAATCTATCTTTTCAAATATCCTTCAATCCTAATAATCAACAACCAATCAATCACTCTTCAAGCTCTATTCTGAACAGTTACACACTTATACATCAGCTTACGTAAGTTTTAAAGTTACTTTACGTGGTATGTCCCCTACAATTTGGTCACTTTTGTTCCACAAGCAGAATCACAGGAAAAAGCATTGCATATTTTTATTTTGAACAAAAATATGGGAAATATCTTCACAAAACTGTCTCCACATAACCCATGTAGAATCAACCACATTTTAAATTATATTTAGGAAAACTGTTTAACAGGAAAAGAGCAAGAATACTTCTTAAATATAATACCAGAGCCTCAGAAAAATTAAGAGCCCTCCAAGACAGGGCTTTTCTTTAATTCCAAAAAAGTAGGTCAAGAAATATATTATGATTATGGATAGGTATTTTAGCCTTCTGGAGAGCAATTCAAAAGTTAACTCAGAAGTTTATAATAAAGTAAAATATTTTTCATGGCATAATCGGTTTGAAAAAGCATTCCTTCTAGAAGTTCTAGAATAAAAAGTATCAAAGTTTAATTTCTCTCCTCTACAGTTAGCCTGGTAGCATCACTGAAATAGCCTTGTCTGCGTAACATATTGTTCTGTATAAAATAGATAGTTTTCACTTCCAGCAGCTGGAGAAATGATATTCACCACAGTTTTCCACCAGAAATAGATGATGCAAAATATGTCCTACTGGTTGCGATTACATTTGATGAATACAATGAAGAACAAGTCAGGAACTGACAATGCAGGAGGTCTTTCTATCCCTGTCACCTTATCACATCTTATTCACATTCACAAACACAAAAACCCCAAATCACCTAACAAACACTCATCCCCCACCCCAAAACCACAAACAAGCTACCAAGGCAGGGTACAGAAGTAGAGGCCAACTGAACACCAACTGAATGGCAATATGGGCTTTGAAGGGTGGCAGAACAAAAAGAGAATACTGCTTACGTTCTTAAATCTTAACATCGGGAAAGAAAAATACCACCAGTCATTTTTAAAGATGCTGGGGTTTTTTTTTGGTTTTTTTTGGAATCTGGATTCGCGCATTCCCCTTTTTTTTTTTTAAATCAACTTGTTAAAAACTTGCAACAAATCCCATGAAATTGCAAAAGTGAAACTACAAGTTCACATTCAAAAATGTCTTTTCTAGATTCAGCCTAATTCTTAATTCCGCCTTCGGTTGCTACTATCAGTATTAGTCCTCTGAAATCACATGAACAGTAGCAATTTGTAACTGCATACAATTACAGAAATAGAGTAGCATAAAACTGTATATATATTTTTCTTGTTTCTAATAAAATAAGAATGTCAGCTCTTTACTCATTCTATACACGGCTCCTTCATTTGAGACAGCAGTCTATGCACGAATTGCAAGTTAACAAAGGACACCTAGAGTTGGGCATCATTGTAAGGCATAAATGAAAATAGACCATCTCCTGAATCAGAGAGTAAATGGCTGGAAAGCCCAAGAAATAACACTTCTGTTGGTAATGCCCCAAAATTGAAGAGCGTTTATACATCCTGTAGTGCTAAATGCAGGACAGTTGCTATTGCAGAAACTGAATCTGCAATATCTACTCATAGAATTTATGCTTTTTAGCACTTGAAGTACCACTTGGCAAATAATCATCGCATTCTCAAAAATCAACATCAAATCTATCCTTCACTCAGAACAGCATTATATTCTGAATGGGGAAAGCTCTCGTATCTGTCCTGGGAAATCAGCGTGACTGGGTGCCTCTATGAAGTGCCTTTACATTAACATGCACAGCACCGGGAACAAAGAGGGGGGAATTAGAAGTGTGCATGCAGTTGCAGTGCTACAAACTCATTGGGATCACGGAGATGTGGTGGGATAGCTCACATGACTAGAGCGCCAGATTGGATGGATGAAGACTCTTTAGCAAGGACAAGCCAGGAAGATAAGGAAGGGGAATTGCAGCTCATGTGAGAAAGCAGCTAGAATACAGGGGGTCTGCCCTGGGATAGGCGACGAGCTATTGAGAGCTTATGGGTCAGGATTAGAGGGCAACGATGTCCATGTCAGTCTGTGGTGGGTGTCTGCTACACACTGTCTGATCAAGAAAAAGTAGAGGAGGCCGTCTTCAGACAACTGGAAGACACTTCAGATGTTCATAGGCCCCAGTTCTCACGCGGGACTTTAACCGTGCTGATATCTGCTGGAGAGACAACACGGCACTGTACAAGCAATCTGGGAGACTTCTGGAGGGCATTGATGATAGCTTCCTGATGAGTGACTGAGGAGCCTATGACGAGAGATGTTCAGCTAGATCTCATGCTTACAAAAAAGAACGAACTGGTCAGGGGTTGGGGGCAGCCTTGGCTGCAGTAACCATGAGGTGGTGGGGTTGAGGATCACCTCAATCATTCTGTGATCCTATGATTATTTCAAAACATTCTTTGATTGCATATCACACTTAACTGCATAAATATACATTACTGGACAGGAATATTGTCTCAGGCTAAAAATCAATGATCCACCAAATATGTAAAGGTAGTTTTATTCATGTAAGCTCCAGAACTAGGAGACTTACAAGGACTGAAGGAGTCAACTCCATCAGCAGAAGTGGATGAATACAAAGCAAAGTAAGTATACATATCTGCTTCTCTTCCAAAAGTCTATCCATTGTGGTGGGGTTGAGGATCACCTCAATCATTCTGTGATCCTATGATTCTGTGATCCTGCTTCTCTTCCAAAAGTCTATCCATTTAACTTCTTAAAAATCTTACAATATTTAGATTTACACTCCATTTTGTGGATTTACTTTAAAGACTACAGACAGGCCTAGCTATGCAAGGAGACGGGAAGCCAGAAGGATATCTCAAACAAAAATGTTGAGACCCAGTATGCAGACAGAGCAGAGAGAAGTTAGAGACTGGAGGAAAAAAAAAAAAAAAAAAACACACACACACACTTAAGACAGCTACTCCAAAAAAACAGAACAAAACCCCCTGAAGACTTTAGGCACAGACACTGGAGAACTACAGATTTTCCAACAGATTCTGAACTTGTAACAGAGCAGAACCAGCAAGATCTCAGAAGTCCAAAGAGGAGGAGGGAAGAAAAGCAGACAGATTCTTCTTGTACAGAACTAACAACAGCACAACCTCAACAATGTAATGCTGGTCTGTGAGGTAAATTAGGTTCTCAAATCAGATTGGAGATGCCAGAGTTTAGCATTACGTGCTACCTTGCACTTTGGCAAGCAGACTAAAAACTGCTTCTACGTTCAGCCACTACTCAATGTGCCCACGGAATCTATTACTTTTTTTTTCCCCCTCTAATTTCATGTAAAAATGACTCTGCTTCGGGAAATAAGCACCTTTTAAAAAAAGGTATTCACAAATGCCTAAATACCTGAAAGGTGACTATGGATTTATATGTTTATTTCTGAGACTCATAGAAAAGCATACTCGCTCAAGTACAGTTTTAATAAAAGTAAAACCAAACTTACTGAGCCTGAGCCTTTTTGACATCCCACACCTGGCTGAAGGGCACCCTGCATAGGAAGCTTTTTTTCCAAACACACATGCATGGGTAGAGTCATACTTCTATTAGATTATTTCATTTGAATGATTACAATTAGTACTTACATCGTCTGTTTTACTTCAAGGGTCCTCAAAATATTTAGTATTGAAAGAACGTCAGCTGCGAATTACACATTTTCTTGGGAATTTCAGCCTTTCCAAAAAATGTTTCTTATCAAGGCCGTGCTCATAAGATTGAAAATAAGAGCCTTGCTTTTCCAAATCAAGAAGGCAATTAAATTGAATCATCAATTATTTCAGAGTCCTCTAATTCCTTGGGGACATGGTTCATGTTTTAAACTGACTACGTGCAAATCAGACTAAATAAACCAAAACATTGCAAAGGAGTGTCTAAATAAAACATGCATGTTTAACCTGATTAACTATGGAAATCAAATACTTCCTTCAACTGTAGTTACCAGAAAGCAAATACATCCCTACTAACAGGGAGCAAGAATAATCTGCTAGAGAAGCCAGGTGGCAAGAATCTGGAGTGATGGCAGTTAGCAATACATTTTGATTTACACTGTTTCAGATAAAATTAACATAGCTCAATGACTAGAAAGGTGTGAAAAATGAATAAGATTTCTTTAATTAAGTTTCCAGAAGGACCCTTAAAACATGCTTTAAGCTTGCCTCAGTGTTAAACTCTGTCCTCGTTTGAGGAAAATTTCAGCACTAGCTTTCTTTGTGTTATTCTTACAAAGCCGCATGCGCTATACTATTTTCAAGTTTCCCTTACCCATTGCTTTTGTTTCTTCTCTTTTAGCATTCAGCAGGGAAAACTTGAATTTTGCTCTGACTTCACTTTTTGGACAACTGACTAAAAGTAAATATAATGACAGGTAGTCTTTGCTTTCATCGTCTAATCCCTTTGGGTTCACTCTCAGGCACCTGAAAAAAACAAAGAAAGCATACATTTTAAAATTGAACTCAGAATAAATTTTGAAATATTTTTATAGGACATGATGACACAAGCTACCAAAATGAATGCTTCCCTGTGACTCTTGAAACTATAAAACTAGAAACACTCATTACTTTAACAAAATCTCAATAAATGCCATCTAATTTTAATATTTGTTCCTCATTTAACTTCACAACTCCGTGAGTCAAAAATAGAATTCCCCCCAAAAACAAAAGCAATTGTGATAATAAAGACCTTACCACTTCATTTTGTCATTTGGCCCTGATGAAAAGGTAGAACTCTTTAGAACTTCACCCATTTCTTCTCGGCAAAAACTGAAGTTATTAATGGTCCACATGTAGGAAAACTTTACTACTTTAACCTGAACAAGAGACGTACAAAACTTCAATAAAGTTCAACTTACTTGTCAAGCATTAACTATGAGAACTAGTTAGACTGTCAGCACAACTCAAAAGCGTTACAGGAAAAGTTGTTGTTGTTTGTTTTTTAAACGATCACTATGACAAGAAAACAAAGCCACTGGAATTCATGCAAATTACCTGTGTGTAACACCAGCTTTCAGCCACAGGTCCACTGGACATCTCTCCAGGGGGAGGTGGGGTGGGGACCCTGGACATTGCCACTTACTGCAGGTTTATAGTATCAAGATAGCAATCCAGACTTCAGTAATTTTCCTAAAAAAGTAATTCATATGTTCCTTTGGTCACCCTCTTTATGTGCAGAAAAAACAGTTATAATATGATATTCAAATTTCTCTTTAATAAAGGATGTTTTGGAATACTGAAGTTGAAAGGACGCTTGTTTAGACAAGCCAGGAGTCAGACAGTCATTAATAACCACTTGTACTCAAACCACGAGCTGAATCCTCATGCAGTACTTCATAAAAGCAAACGTCTTCAGTAACATTAATTACATTATTTGAATGCTTCCTTTGTCAATTACTACTTTGAACACTCTAGTCATGTCATAACTTTTTTCAGGAACTTTTCCTGAAGTTTTCGAGGGTACCTAGGACCTTGTGAGACTAAAACATTAGTAACAAGTAATTAGTTGTCCACAGAGGTATACTTCAGTTCTGAAGGAACACCCAGCCTTCTGGGAGCAGAAGTTCAAGTAACTCTGGGATTTTGGCAGGGGGAGGGGGGAAGGAAAAGAAATTAAGCTTTATGTACAAGTAGTATTTTCTTCATACATTTTTCACAGTTGCCTTGTATCTTTAATACTGATAGATTTAAATGAAGGGCTATAATAATCACAACCATGTGGTGATTGTCTATTGCAACACGGAGCTGAAAAACAGTTGAAGTGAACTCATCAACTCTGAAGCACTTCCCCATAGTAAACAAATAAGCAATTTTTTTCTAGTTTATCACTTAAGAGATCATTGCAATTTCTCCTATCCATCAGGATTGGAACCACAGGCCCAGATTCGTCACATCTAACTACAGACACATAATTGGTCGGTCTACTTGCACTAGCCCTTGTACCTAACTAACAGAAGAACACCGGCACTTCAGAGGGTGACTCTAAGATTACTGGGCTGACTCTCCTTTACGTATGCTTCGCTGTCTCCTTTAGGGAGTTACCTGACAGAAGCATAGCTTTTCACTTAAGCAGCTCCATTACGTTGCTGAAAAGAAGTGCAATGAACAAGATGAAAGTAACAACTGTTTCTACCATGAATCATTTTCTCTCTGGTACACAAAGTTTCTTTAAACATATCCTGCTCTCAGTAAAGCAAGATCAGAAGACCACAATCTTCTTGAGTATTGCTTTCTTCACTAAGTAGGCATTTTTGCCTGTGATAAAATAACATTCATTGTATTACTGAAAGCAATTTGATTGCACATCGCTCTAATCATGTCAGATGTCGAGACTCTTCCTCTAGTGACAGACAATACACATAGCACCTTGCTTATATGTATACACTGGTGAGAACACACTAAGACTGCATACAACTCACTCACAACTCGAACAAGTTTATTATTCCTATTGAAAGAAGAATTCTGAGAATCACTATGATCCTCAGTGGATGCTTTTCCTCCTGCCTTTCTGGTACCTTTTCTCATTCACCTGGAATACAAATTAGCTCTTGCACATTAAAGACAGCTGACACAGGAATCACTCTGAATCATGAATATACAGAACCTTAAAAAGTCACATTCTCAGCTTTTATATCAGATGAGGAAGTAGATGCTATGCAATCAAATCTCTACTAACATATCTATTATGACAAGAATGCGGGTTGGGGGGGAAATCATTGAATAGGTCTCCTGCAAGATCTGGATCACCAAGACATTCAAACATAATCAGAAATACATTTCAGCTACCTCTCACAAAAGCAGACTTTTCTTTCTAAATACAATTTATGTCTCTACATAGCAATCTTCAGTACCTAATTAGCTTTTTCAATAGATGGTAACTGGTAACAAAGTAATAATAAATTTAAGATAAAGGAACTTGCTTGCCCTAAACTATTTTTGCTTTTTTTAATTGAATTGCACGTATTGCACAAGCTGTATTACTTTGTTTCAAATCTCTGCACAGAGCCACCAGGAGAAAAACCCAGGGAAGGATAAATGTGAACATCCTTATTTCATAAAGCAAATACACATACTTATGTTACCATGATTTTTGGAAGCACGTCATATTCAGTGGTAACAGCTGAAGCTACAACCCAAATATACGATGGATTTTCTACAGAACCATAACCTGAAAGCATTAAAACAGCTTACCTCAGCCTTACTGAACCCGTCTGCTTTTCCTGAATTCTAAAAACAGAGCAAGGAATGTGCTATATTTCTTCTTGTCACTTCCTTGAGATGCATAGTATCATCTCATTTCTAATCTGTTCCTTCCTCAATTCTTTCAGTCCCTTAGATCAGTGAACTCCTAGGAGCAGTCCAGTAATCCTGAAGGGGCTGCAAGTCTGAGTCATTTACTCTGAAGGGGTTTCTAAACAGAAGGCAGCTGAGATTAACTGCTCTATAGTATTCTCTTTAGGGAGTTTCCAGTGACCGCATGCCACCTACAGATAGTTACCTGCCTCCCCCCGTCTGGCAACTAAATCAGCACAATAAACTGAGAACTTAAGTCTAAGTAAAGGTGGTTAACTGTCACTTACTTATTTTATGGCCAGTAATGACTCAGTTGCCTTGTGTCTGCACCTGTTCTACCTACAGCTTACAGAAAGGTATTTGTACTTCACAGTGCTTTGACCTGTCACATGGCCTTTATTATTTATTACAGTATCTGACAGAAGCCATGATTGTAAGTACACTTTTCAAATCACTCTGAATAGCTTCAGCTTTTTGTAAAGTTTCTCAGGAGCAGACAACTGACTTACAAATCTGCTTCCCAAAGATTTTGGGAGCTCAGGAATCTCACTTTTCTTTGGTATGGATTTACTAAGCCAATCAGATTCTTAGGTTGAAAATAAACTGGGAGAAGGCAAGAGTTTTGAATAGTTTGGTATCATACTGGGAGCCTGAGCTGAGGAACTTTCTTTTATTATGTATCAAGGCATGTTGATAAAGTAAGGAAGAAATCAACAAGAATCTGAAAAACAGATAATGGTCAAACAGAAGATAAGATACCCTGTTAAGACATACTAAAAGACTGTCATAAAATAGCGGGGAAATAATTTAGAAATACTGCTTACCTTCCCCTTGCTTTACTTAGTCCAGTTAATCAGGATTTGGGAAGGGTGGTAATAGGGTATATTTACCAAAGCTACAAGGTTAATGAAAATGCCTAAACTTCAAAGATACTAAAGTGCACAGGGACTTGGGGAAGGGAAGGATTTTTAGTCAACAGGCTGACACTCAGACCCATAAGCACACTAAATAGGCCACTGTGTGCCTTATCCACTTCTTGCAGCTACGGACAGTTACCAGGGCAAAGGGGAACATGCAAGGAAAAATTAAAGTGCAGGTGAGAAGAAAGATGCATGTGTATGTTAACCCTTTGTTCTATGTGCTATGCTTTGGGGAAAAGACGAAACACTACTTTGAAGAATCTGCTTATGAATCATTGATTAGCCACTGTCATCAGCTCAGACAAAAAGGTTTTCAAGTACCAAACCTTCCCTGCAGCCTGTTAGATCAAACGGTAGGGAACAGCTGGAGCTGCAGTTCACAGACCCAGGCAGAGAATAACTGGGTGGAATTAAATCGATAAAGTGCAGGAAGACTCTTATCTGAAGGATGAAACAACCTACCGTGAAAGGGACAATTTTCATGCTAGTACCTGCACTTATTCCTCTGCATGCTATCAGGAACAAAGCATCGAAGGAGCCAGGACATTATCATATGATACCTCCAAGAGTTTTCAAGGCAGAGTCCTGCCTGTCTGGACTTGGCTTAACAAACCAGTCTACGCGGCCAGTTCGTCAGGTGAAAGTCTCCCTCCAAGTACAAAGTCTCCGACCATCAGAGGAAAAACACATTTACATTCACTGGGAACACTAAGACAAGTTTTAATGGAAGAGGACAAGGAAGTTTCTGGCTTTATAAAGTGGAAGTTTGTGGAGCATTTTGCAAAACAGCATGCCACCTAGCTCCTCACACACTGCTGAGGTTTCCACATCTGGGCTGCCAAATAAGCAAGGTATACAGATAGACACAACAATTGCTATTGAAACTGTAAATAGGACTTGGATATTAAATTTGTGCCTCAAAAGAGCAGCTGAAAGTTACAGTCCAAAGACAGGGCAAGCAGCAGTGCCAGTTAGTAACAATATTTGCCTTGAATAATTTCAGATATCAGAATATCCCTAACTCAACAGTACATGTACGTTTATGGTTTGCATGGGGTGTTTTGTTTTTTGTTTCATTTTAAGTAAATGGATATACCACACTGAATGCCATGGAGCAGTAAGTGATGATTCTATTTCCTTTCTGAGCATTTGTTTTTGTTATACACCACTTTAACATGAATTTCATCAGATGAGTATATATAATCTTGTTTCCTTTCCCAGAAATCATACTCATGAATTATATATGTATTAAAATTATTGCAAAAAAAACCTTTTCAACCTCTTAGGTTTACATAAGAGCATATTTCTACTAAAATGTTCTCACTCTTACGCCTCATATTGCAATTATTTTAAGAGCTTTTTTCACCAAAAAGGTAAAACACATTAACAAAGTACCACATAAATGTAAATACATTAAAGAGGAATTTTCCACTGTCCCAATAATAGATTTTGAAGTTTGAGGGTTTATTTGAAGAATAGTCCTAAGTGTTAACAGGAGCTTCTGCCAGCTCTCACCTCTATGAATAAAAACTCAATACAACAATGACATGCTAGTGTTTCTTTCGTCAGAGTAATAGTCTGATGTCCATATAAGCACGTGTGCATGCTAACGATCACCATGATGCTTTAATCTTTGGATTTCAGTACAGTATCATGGTCACCAGATCAGCAACAGCACTGGCCAAGTAAGTTGCCTTCTACAACATTCCTACATGGTACACCCCCGAAAGACAAATGCAGTCTGCCAGAGCCTAACCCATAGACCAATTCACCATGCAAATAAATGGCTCCTTCCCGCTCCCTCAAAAGCGGAAGGCAAGCATGCTGTGAATGGGCCATGGAGTTCCTGCAGACTCTCTTCTCTCTGCAACTACTTCTTTCAAGGGCTTCAGACTCCAGGATGAAAGCGCTTCCCTCT